ACGGAACAAAATTAAAACTCATTATTACCAAATTATAGAATTAAGGGTGATGTAAAACACTGAGAGATATGTATTTGATTCTATATAGAAGCTGTATATATTGGTTTTAATCATCCGTAATAAAAATGCTATATGATGAATATGATAAATTTGTCCACTATAATAATTCTATTACTTCCATGTCGTCCGGTTGGGAAGTAAAAACGTTAGGTTTCGTGAAAACCCAATTTTTCATAATTGGATAATATGTATTCAGCATATCATATATTAAGCGCCACAATTCCTTTGAAATATATATAATGTTAAGATAGAGTGATCTAGTATTATAGCATTATTCTTTTTCTGCAAACTGCTATATGATTTGATCGCCATTGACAGTATCTATTGACTAACACTGACTAGCCTTTCGCTGACAAGCTGTTACAAAATCTTGTTTGTGATCGTAAATACTAATTTAGTTTCTCACTATATAAACATGAAATCAGTGACTCATTACGTGTAGAATTATATGAATTTTTAATTACCTGGCGAGTATCCATAAGCGTGATGAATATTGCCTATAATAGGAAGTGGCATGTGTCCCAGAACACGATTGATAAGTCGTCCTTTTCTTCCAAGATGAACGATATAATGATGTTTAAAAAATTTAAGAGAAGTTTTTTGTTAAATATTCTATCTCAGAAAGAGAGAGAGAGAGAGAGAGATTATATTGCATATAAATTGAGAATAATACTAACCTTTTACACTTTCTTTTCTTGCATTGTGAAGCCTGTTCAATAGGCAAGTAATAATTTGCACGTTTAGTCTTAACTTCCGCACCAATGGTATACATCTCAAACTATATGTAAAAACTACCGTCGAGTCTTGTCGTCACGAAGCAACTGATGGAATGCATGAGCTCCTAGAAAAAAAATATATAGAGAATTCCCCACCAAGTTTATTTTCCCCTCCCTTATTTATTCTTCACGGATGTCAACCTTTGCAACGCACATACCGATAGATTTTTCTAGAAAACTTAATAATAAATCTCTAACACGGCATCGTAGCCGATCAAGTAAGCACTCACACATTATTGAGATAGCACCAATCATCATAGCTTAGAAGACAAAAAGAAAATGATGTGCGGTATAAGGACTCACGATATTCATATTTATTTGAAAGAATCACTTTTCAAGGTTATTATTTTTTTCGACAC